CGTTCAAATCTCACCGGCTCAAAGTTGACTCAGCCTTCCATCCTTCTGAGGTGGGTGAAATGAGGACCCAGACTGTGGGGGCGATATGCTGACTCTGTAAACCGCTTAGAGAGGGCTGAAAGCCCTATGAAGCGGTAGATAAGTCTAACTGCTATTGCTATTGCTATTGACTCAGCCTTCCATCCTTCTGAGGTGGGTGAAATGAGGACCCAGACTGTGGGGGCGATATGCTGACTCTGTAAACCGCTTAGAGAGGGCTGAAAGCCCTATGAAGCGGTAGATAAGTCTAACTGCTATTGCTATTGCTATTGACTCAGCCTTCCATCCTTCTGAGGTGGGTGAAATGAGGACCCAGACTGTGGGGGCGATATGCTGACTCTGTAAACCGCTTAGAGAGGGCTGAAAGCCCTATGAAGCGGTAGATAAGTCTAACTGCTATTGCTATTGCTATTGCTATTCCCAATGGGTTGAGTACAAGGAGCCCCCCCCCCCTCCATCTTCACAGTCATTCTTGGAAGTTAATTCACATTTCAAGAGGTCAGCGTGACTCTTCCTGCAGATCCCTTTATCTTATCTCTGCCACTTTGTTATTCCATTCTAGGCAGCAGATGTTCCCATCTCACCAACTGGTGTCCTTGTCTTCCAAATTATCTTTCTGCATTTCCAAGGAATTTTAGCAGGTCACCCTGTATTGTCGTCACCGCTTACACTTGTGTTTAATAATTGCAACGGAGAGGGAAAAACAACACCAAGCGTCTCACACCATTTTGCACTTTTATATAAAAGGGTTACTTCTTATTTATCTCCTTCAGAGTGGCCACTAAACGAACCGTCGTAGGTCCGGGGCTGTATTATTAAATGTACAGGGCGCAAATCACTTCTGCGAGGCAAATTGGGCTGTTGGGCCCCATTCAAACCATCCAGGGAGCCCCCCCAAAGGGCAATTTGGCCCCGGGAAGAGGGCGAGATTTGCAAACCCTCGAAATCCAACTTGCAACAAAGAATTTCCAAGCGCTACAGAAGGAGCTGGGGAAGCGGGAAGAGGCAGGGAGACTTCAACTCCCAGAGTTCCTCGCGCGAGAAGTCACGCGCGCTAAAGCGGGCCTGAGGAGAGGAGACAGACTACATCTCCCGGCATTCCCGGAATAAGCACCCTCCCCTTTTTTGTTTTTCCTGTCAGGTCAATCAAACGGTAGGAGGGACTTCAAACACCACAGGGGGGGCTCCGCGCGTCACTTCCGCCGGCGGAAGGCATTCGCAACTCGAGCGTATATACCTGGCCGAGATGAAAGGACTTCAACCCGCCCAGAATGCCTCGCGCGTTGATTCCGCCGGCGGAAGTCCCCCCCGCCCCTTAGGAGGGCGTGAGTCGGCAAGAGGAGGAGGAGCAGAAGGAGGGACTCCAGCTCCCAAAAGGCCTCGCGCCCTGCTTCCGCCGGCTTAGAGGCTTCGAGAGCGAAGAGCCACCTGCGACTGCAGCTCCCAGAGTTCCCCGCGCGGAAGGAGGACTTCGGGCGAGAGCAGCGGCGGGAAGAGGAAGCGGCGGAGTGCGGACGGACTACATCTCCCGCCGTCACCCGCGCGGGGAGGTTTATGGGGGGCTCCATGGAGGCCCCCGCGGCGGCCACCTTCACGCTGGCCTACCTGGTGATGGCCTTCTGCTTCATCTTCCCTCCCTGCGAGTTCCACCTGGCCGGCCTGACGGTGCAGAACCTGCTGGGCAACTGGCTGGGAAGCGAGGACGTGGCTTTCGTCCACTACCACCTGCGGAGGGGCACCGGCACCCTCCTGGCCCACGCCGCCCTGCCCTTGGGTGAGGGGCTTCCCGGGGGGGGGAGGGGGAAGGAGGAGGGGAGACACCCCCCCCCCCTTGGAAAGGGAGTGCAGGCAGGGAGGGAGGGGGAGCGGCAAGGGAGGGAGGGAGGGACCCCCCCCAAGTGGGGGGCCAGGGAGGGGAGAAGGGGTGGGCCGACCCCCTCCTTAGCCCCTGGGGCTCTGGGTCCTTTCATTCAGCTGCGGGGGGGGGGAGGAGAAAGGGGAGGGGGGCCCCGAGGGAGGGAGAGGCGAGCCCCCCCAAGAGCTGGGACAGGGAGGGGGAAGGAGAAAGGGGGAGGGGGGTCACTGCCCCGCCGCCGCTTAGAGTCAGGCTCTGAACCCCCACATTCAGCTGTGGGGGGGAAAGAGAAGGGGGAACCCCAAGGGGAGGGAGGGAGGGAGAGCCACCACCAAGAGGGGGGGGCAGGTAGGAGAAAAGAGAGATGGGGACGAAGAGTGAAGCCTCTCAAGGATGTGGGGGAAAGGGGGAGGGGGGGACTGTCCGCCCCACCCCCCAAACCACTGCTTAGGATCTGGCTCTGGACCCCCACATTCAGCTGGGGAGGGCCAGGAAAAAGAGGAGGGGGACCCCAAGGGGAGGGAGCGAGAGAATCCGAGAGGCAGGTTGTCTATGAAAGGGGAGGGGGGAAACCCAAGGAGGGGGGGAGGCAGGTGAGGAAGAGGAAGGAAGGACAGTAAAACAGAATGAAGGTAAGGAAAAGGAACGAGGAAGAAAAACAGGAGGAAATAATTAAGGAGCTAATGAAAGAGAAAGAAAGGAAAAGGAGGGGGAGAGAGAAAGAGAAAGGGGGGAGGGTGGGAAAGAAAGACAAACCGACCTTTCTCTTCCTTAGGCTACTACTTTGGAATGTGCTTTGCGGCGCCCGAAAAACAGCTGAGCACCATCTCCGAGGCGTCAGAGCTGTGGAAAACTTTCTTCGTGGGAGCCCTCCTCCTCCTGATCCTCGCAGTCACCTTCGCCTTCCTCTGGTCTCGGGACGGCTGGTCCCGCCACCCGCTGGTCCAGAACCTCTCCTGCTACGCCCTGGCACCCCACGGCACCTGGCAGACCGTGGCCTCCTCCATCGACACCGAATTCCGGCGGATCGATAAGTTTGCCACGGGGCCGCCGGGGGGCCGCCTGATTGTGACCGACAGCTGGGTTATCAAAGTCACCACCTACTCCTTCCACGTGGCCCCACAAAGGGACATCCAGATGTCCGTCATAGCCTCGAGGCAGCAGGAGATCTTGCCGGAGGCTGGCATGCCGGCTCAGTTCCTCACCATCCGCGTGGCCAGCGTCAATCCCCACGTCAAACCCTTCGACATCCGGTAACGGTTCTCCATGGATCTGGGTGGGGGTGGGGGGTATTAATTTGAATTCGGAGCCGAAGAGATTTAGCAGTCTGGAACGCAACGGTGGGTCAACTTCTCTGGCGGTTCCATTTATGCAGGCGGTCCTCGATTTACGGCCACAAATTTCTATTTTGTGGCTGGTTGAGGTTTTCCCCATATTACAACGGTTCTCGCCCCCAGTTAAGTAAATCTTCGCAGTTTTTAATCACACGGTTGTTAAATGAATCCAAGCAGGTTTTTATTACATGGCCGTTAAGTAAGTGACCGCATCCCCACAGTTGCGAAATCAAAATTCAGATGCCCTGGCAGTTTACTCGTATTTATGGCAACCGCAACATCCTTGGGTCACGTGATTCTTCTTTGCGACCTATTCAGCTATGTCAAGTGTGGAAGCCAGCTTCACTTAACGCCATGTGACTCACTTAACAACCGCAGAGATTCGCTTAACCCCTGTGTCGAGAGAGGCCATCCAGTGGGGCAAAGCTCACTTCACAAATGTCTGGCTTAACAATAGAAATTTGGGACTCGGTTGTGGTCGTACATTGAGTCACATGGTCGTTAAATGAATCAGCCTTCCCTGTCGCAAAAGGGGATCGTAGGAACCCAGGATGATCCGACTGTCACAGATTCGAGCCGCTTTGACTAGCCTCCGAATGTAAATCCCGTGACGGTCGTAAGTGTGAAAAAAAAGGCTCCCCAGTCCCTTTTTCTGTTTCCAGGGCCGTCGTAACTTGGGACCGTCCACAAAGTGAATCGCCTTTAACTCAGGGGCTGCCTGAGTTCAAAAAACCATGCCGGTTTCTTGTTTATTTTGAAATTCAGCGCCGTTTATTCCCAGAATCGGGATCTGGTCTTTGTTTTCCCGACAGGCTCAACTCGTCGGAATACAGGGAGCTGCAGGACAAGCTCCGGGCCCCGATCCGTAATGCGGCCAACGTGGTCATCCACCAGACCCTGAGTGACCTCTTTCTGGAGACCTTCATCTCCCTGGTGGAGAAGAACCCGCCTTACCTGGTTCCCAGCGACCAGGTGAGTTTCCATCTGGTCCAGTTGACGGCGGGGTGACAGGCAGTCCTCGGCCCCCACGACCGGTTCGGGCGTTGAGCGGATCCGCTTTCCCTTTCGACATGGGGTTTTTGGAGAGGCATCTGGGAAGGGTGTTGGGGTTGTCGCAAATACAGGCCATCCTTGTTTGCTGGAAGGGAGGGGGATTTTGCTCTCTGCTTCTGCACACTCCCCTGTGCCACTGATGACGTTAGCTAGTGGGGTCAAGAGATGTCTGTAACAAAACCTTGGGGAGCACCAAAGACCCCCTACCGTTCCTTCCTTCCTGATGTTCCCTAGTTGGGTCACGAAACGTTTTCTGCAAGAAACCCACGCAGCTCAGCCACCGTCCTCCTGCTCTTCCTCTCTCTCCACAAATCCCTCTCCCTTCTAGCACTGATGATGTTACTCAGTTGGGTCCTGAGATGTCTGCAAGGAAACCACCCCATTCTCAGAGTCTCCTTAATGACCTCCCTGCTTCTTCCTCCCCCTGCAGGAGCTGGACCTCTGCATCGGCTGCATGCAGTCCCCGGCCAACGTCAAACTGCTGAAGAACTGCGATGAGCCGGACGAGGGCATATGCCAGCTCTGTTTCTGCTACCCCATGTGGTGCCTGCTCTGCATGGGCAAATGGTTTGCCAGCCAACAGGACCAGCAGCACCCGGAGACCTGGCTCTCCAGCCACGTGCCTTGTCCCACCTGCCGGGCCAAATTCTGCATTTTGGACGTCTGCTTCTTGGAGTGATGGGGAGGCGCGCAGAGAGACAAGAGGAAATATGCAACCGACCGCAGCGTTTGTGGTCTTATAGCTCCCGGGATTGTCTTTGCAGGATAGATTATTTCCATAATCTCCCCCCTTTTTGATGCCTTTTCAAACCCCGTTCCGTTCTTCTCTTTTTGAATGCGGCGTTTTTAAGTCTCCGGTATTTCACGAGCGCCGCCCCTTTAAAGTGGGTGGACTTCAACTCCCAGAATCCCTGGAGTTGAAGTCCCTCCCTCTTAAAGGGGCCGAGCTTGAGAAACACTACTTTAGAATGCCAAGTCAAAAACAAGGAAGGGATTTTTTTTCTTTGCCTTCTAAATCGGGACTGGATTTGGTGAGTTGTTCCACACTCCGCCTTAGTCCGCAATTCCCTTTTTTTTTTTTCAAACTTTGCAATCCTGGAAACAGGAATGACGGCGACGGATTCGCTGCGACAAACTCTTTAACGTTCTCATGCACTTCTCGGATTCAGACCAAGTCTGCAAATCCTCTCTTAGCGGCATTAAAAGATAGATCTCTCTATCTATCTATATATATATATGTAGGATGATTATCTAAATTATTGCAGTGTTTCCGGAGAGTTTTTCTCGGGAAAGGAAACGGATTAACGGCCTGGGAACTGGTGGGATTAAAAATCACTTTTTTTTTTAGTGGTTTATGAAGGCTGAACTTTGGGTGGGGAAAAAAAAAGGGAGAATGATATACTTGAAATTGTCTTTTTCTGACGGTTTCTTAACTCGGGTTCACCAAGTGTATTATTCAGTCGGTATCCTTTGCAAAGGGCAAATGGAAGTGAAATTCCTTTATTAGTACAACAAATACGAGGCAACAATTGTTTGTCAGAGAGATGAATTTAAGTTTGAGCTGAAGTTGAGTTTTTGATTAGTTTCTATTTGTCTTTGGGTTGAGATAGGCGGGTCTAAAAATCTCAGGAACTTGAAAATAGGTGGACTTCACTCCCAGAATCCCACAGCCAGCATGCTTTAAGTCTGGGAGTTGTAGTCCACCCCTCTTCAAGTGCCAAGTTTGAGAAACAACATGCTTATTATCTCAAGCGAAGAAACTCATGAGATTTTTAAAGTGCCCCTTAAGTGCCAGCTTCCCCCCCCCCCCCCCCCCCCCCCCAAACATCCTTGTAACTTTTAATTAATTTATTTTCTTTAAATTTTTAAAATAATCAGTTCAGTTCCTGTCCGGTTTTTTTTTTCCACACATGCACACACCCTAAATTTCATGAATTCACCTTCGGTCTGGAGGAGGCACGCCAGCAAAAAGATGTTGGTTTCGCAAATGCAGCTGGTTATGTGAAAATGGGGCACAAACTGCACCTTAGAATAACACACCTAGGTTTCCCCCAGGTGTGTAGACTTTAATTCCCAGAATTTCCCAGGCTGTACAAACGCCGCTGAGAATTCTGGCTAAACCTAGTTGTTTTAAATCACCCCCCCGCCCCCTGGTTTGTACAATAGAACAGGAGAAATTTTTATTTGAAGAAGTGAAATAGAACTTATTAAACTTATTAAAAATGAATAATTTCAGTTGAGAATTTTTGGGAAAGTATTATCCAGTATTATATTTACGTGCGATCCTGTTTGTTCTACCGAATAAATTTTTTTGCCACTTTGAGCTCGAACAATTCTTGTGTTATTTTATTCCTCTGTTATTACTATTCCCTTCGATTTCAAATTCATTTATACAGGTGGTCTTCGACTTACGACCACAGTTTGAGGCCAAACTTTCCGTCGCTAATCAATAATGATTTTAAGTGAGTTTTGCCTGGCAGTTTTTAAGCGAATTCCGGCAGCTGTAAAGTTTGCCATGTGGTTGTCATGTGACTCCCATTTTCCCCATCGATTTGCTCATCAGAAGGTTGCAAAAGAAGATCACTACAACTGTCGTAAATATGAGTCAGATGCCAAGCGTCTGAATTTTTTTATCATGTGACGGGGGATGCTGCCACAGCCGTGTGGAAAAATGGCCATAAATTGCTTTTTTCAACAGTAGTAACTTCAAACAGTGATTAGATGATCTGTTGTACATTGCATTTTGATAGCAAATAGTTTATAGGCGATGCAATATAAAGGAAACTTAAGCGGGAGGACGAGTTGTAAATTATATTTTTTTCCGGTGCTCTCATTTTGAACGACAGTAAAAGTAATAGTTGTAAACTCAGGGATGACGTGAAATTCTTGTTAACTAACCGCACCAAAAGACTTTCCTTGGGCAGAACAGAGTCTCAGCCAACAGGTCACAAGAATGGGCCGCAGACGCAATGTAATTTAAAAAGGGGCTTTTTTTTTTATTGCTGAGAAATCTCTTTACAATCTTGGCTAGTTTACAAACTGCAGAAAAAAAAAGGTTTTGTTACGAAGGCATCGTCTCCGTCCAAAAAAGAAGAAAGAAATAATGCCGAATGCATCTGTTCTTATAATTGAACATTTAAAAGCTACATAATAATCCACATTATCCCGATCATGTGTTAATAAGATTTTTGCACCAACTATCACTTTAGTTCCTTTCATAAATATATATATATATATCTTGATATCTCAAGTCATTACATAGGTTTGACTACTTCTATTACCCGCTAATTGTTACCTTAAAATCCCACTGTAATGTTTTTTTTTAAAATACCGCCTGGATGGGCGAGGAGAGAGGGTTGCCTTAGCAATATAATTTTCAGTAAACTTTCTACACGGGTCCTTTATAGAAGGGGTCCTTGACTTATGGCCACAATTGAACCTGTGGTTAAGCCAAGGCAAGCTGTTTTAAAGTGAAATTTGCCGTTTTTACCACCTGTCGTCATGATCATTGCAAAACCTGTGTGGTTGTTCACTGAACCATGTGGTCGTTAAGCGAATCTTGCTTTGCCCCGCTGACTCTTGCTTGTCGGGAGGGTCAGGAAATGGGGCCATAAAACATGAGCTGGTTGCAAAGTGCCTGAATTCTGATTCGTGATTTGTGGGGATGATGCAGTGGTTATAAGTGTGAAAACTAGATGTTAAGCCAGTTGTTTCAGTACCATCCTAAAGTTGGTCGATAAATGGTCGTAAGTGAAGGACTGCTGGTATAGCTAGTGTCTGCAGAGCCGTTCAGGTGTTGATTGTATAAAAAAAGCGTCTAGCAGAATATTTGCACGTCTTTTCCCACAAGCTACAAATAAATAAATATATTTGTAACTTGTGGGAAAAGACGTGCAAATATATATTCTTTTCTTTAGACTGCATGAGATGGTTTTCTGCAAAGGGCCAGAAACACACAGGATCGAATGGTATATTTATTCTGGGCACTGCCGAAGGAGGTGCGTTTGTGTGTGCCGCAGGGATGCCAACATGCCACACATGCACTTGTGCACGCCTGATGTTTGAAAAGTCAGCAGCCACCTTTGCTGGGTGGCCAAAGGAAGACCCAAGATGACCACTCCGTTGGGCGCTTCATTTTGTGGCTGCAAATGGATTCAGCCTGCCTGCCACTAAACGCATCTTTTCCATGTTTGTGGTCGGGAACTTGTGTGACATTGTACTTTTATTAACTCCATTTAAAAACTTTTTTTCCAGCTTCTTAAGTCGGCCGTTTCTATCCCCGGCTCCCAAAATTTGACTCCGAAATTCAAAGCGAACATGATGTGGGAACAAGGCTAAGCAGTCCTCAACTTACAACCACAATTGGGATTGCACTGATGACGCTACTGTCGTGGCTCGCCAGCAGCCTTAAGACAGTGAGCAGGTTGGTGGGGAACATGGGCCGGTCCTGGAGTCTGGGGAAGGCTCGGATGAGGGCTCTGTGTCGGAGGCAGAGAGGGGGCCGGGGCTGTCTGACAGTTATCTGGGGCAGAAGAACAGCTGGAGCCTGTTCCCAGTGTGCGCATGTGCAGAGCGGCCAGATGAAAGGAAGAGCTAAAGAACAGGGGCCGACTTGGGAGTAAGGCCACAGGTGGACGATGAACGGCCCCTCCCAGAGGACATAAAAGAGGAGCGAAAGGGGAGTGGAGTTTGCAGGAGACAATTAGTTCGCTTAATTCGTTTGTGATTCTCCGAGATTCCTGGCCAAGTTTTGCAGATCTCAGCCTGGCAGCTCTCCAAGCCAGATGAGGTCTGTGACCGTAAATCCTCCCTTGAAAGACTTTGCTGGATGGGAATGAGCAGAATTCAGTCAATTAATAAAAGGTTTTTTTTTGTCGGGACGAGGAATTTCCTTCAGGCTCTCGGGAATCCTCGGTCAGAAGAGTTACCCAGTTTGGCCATGAAATGTCTCACTAGAGCGCACCAAGGACCCCAGATTAGAAATTTCCCATTGCCAAGCAAGTTGGTTGCTAAGTGAGTCACACCCAACTTTACCTTATTTTGCCACGGTTGTTAAGTGAATCATGCACTTGTTAAGCAAATTGAGCTTTCCCCCAGTCACCATGCTTGTGGGAGGCTGGCTGGGAAGTTTGTAAAGAACAACAAACACATACCATTGCCAGGTGCCTGGAGATTGATCATGTGACCACGTAAAATACTGTGACAGTTGTAAGTGCGAGGACCGGTCATATGTGCAAGGACTAGCTGCAAATCACTTTTTTTTCAAATGGTAACTTCAAATAGTGGGTAAATAAATGGTTGTAAGTCGAGGACTACTTGAAGTGTTTTAAAAGCAAATTTTAATTGTTTAATTTCGAAAAGGAAGAACAAGACGGACTTGCGAAGTTTACGTCCTTCCTGGGGGGGGTGGGAGGTGGGGGGTGGAGAGCTTTTATAATCAGCGCTAAAAGTTGACGATAATTTTTTAGGAAAGATTAGGATATTTGGGGCAAAAATGCAAATTGTTTGGTCTCAGCCCGTACTGCGGACTTTCAAAAAAATAATAATAATCAACATGAAGTCCTTCTTGTGTTGATCAGTCACACAAAAGGAAATGACACCACAACGGATGGTCGCCCTGTGGGAAAATGTGCAGTGTTCTGTTCCCAGAATTGTCCAACTAGCATGTCAGGAATTCAACTCCCAGAATTCCCCATGCTGGCAGGGGAATCGGAGTCCACACATTTTTCAAGTTGCTCGATTTGAAGAAAGCCACCGTATGCCAAGTTGTGTGGACTGCAAATGGTCCTCTGAAGGACTGACAACTTGACAACGGGTTTAGGCAGTGTTGAGGTAGCGCAAAATCTGTTTTGCTTCCGTTCTCCAATCCCCCAAGGAATACTAAATGAGAAGTCTTGGTAGTCTTCAACTTATAACAGTTCATTTAGTGACATCCAGCACTGCTTTAATGCTCATTAAGGTAACTAGATCTCAGCAACCTGTGCTGTTTCCAAGCTCATTAAAGCACCTACATCTCATCATCCCAGCACAAATTTGAAGCCTATGAAAACAGCTACATTTCAACATCCAACACGGCTTTAATGCTCATGAAAGCAGCTGTATTTCAATTAAGCTAGCACTAGTTCAAAGCTCATTAAAGCACTTCTGTCTCAACACCTGCTTTCAAGCTCATAAAAGCAGCTACATCGCAACAACCCATCACTGGTTGGAAACTCATGAAAACAGCTACATCTCAAAATCCCAGCAAAATCCCAGCAAGCCCATTACAGCAGCTATATATTAACAATTCAACACTGATTTGCAACTTGTTAAACAGCTACATCTTAACACCCAACACTGTTTAAATTTTCATTAAAGCAACTATATCTCAACGTGTACTGGTTCCAAGCTCATTAAAGCACCTACACCTCAACACCCCAGCACAAATTCAAAGCCTATGAAAGCCAGCTACATCTCAATCCTGCATTGGCCCCAAGCCCATTAAAGCAGCTGTATCTTAACCACCCAGCACTGGTTTACAGCTTGTTAAACAGCTACAACATCCAAAAAAAGGCTTTAATGCTCATGAAAGCAGCTATAACTGAACAAACTATACTGGTTCCAAGCTCATGAAAGCAGCTACCTCTCTTGCCAGGACAATGTGATCTCTCTGCATTTGACAACATCTTTTCCAGTTTGCAGCCAAAACCTTGCACACTCTTTAACTGACCTTCATACAATAAAGTGCAACTTCAGCACAAAAAGCTGGAGACCTTAAGGTGACAAGTTGGAAAGCGCAAAGCCAGAATAGGCCGATTTATACTTTCCACACCTGGCAAGCCTAATCTCATTTGTGTAATCCGTCTAAAATAACAAGAGGGACTTTGCTGTCAATATAACGCAGTGCATGCCACCACGATTGTATGAGGGCAGAGCTGATATTGTTTGCTGAAAAAGGGGGGGGGGGGTAAGAAGTAAACTCACAGCCGGACTCGTCCTATCAGGAAATTGTTGGGGAGTTGGGAAGGATAACACCATTCTTATTATTCCCAACTCACAAATTGTGTTGAACGGCATCGGCTTTCTGGAGCTCCCAAAAGCTGATACTTTTTAATAAAATCTGTTCGAGTTGGAAAAGGGGCTATCAGATTATTTATTTTGGACACAGTACAGACATGGCTTCTCCTCCCACGCAACCTACAGTTAAATGCAGAAGAAGGAACGAACAACAGTAGCACCTAATCGAAACAAGCTTTTAGGAAAAAAAGAGGCACCCCTAGGAAATATCTGAACAAGCCAAGTAAAAAACACCGACAGATGAGAATATTTGTTCCTTGGTGCTCTCTGAGCTGGCTGGTTTTCTTGGGAGACATTTTATGACCCAATTAGGGAACACCATCAGTGCTAAAAGGGAATGGTATGTGCAGAGGAGGAGGAGGAGGAGGACTGTGGGATCCTTGGTCCTTTTTGAAGTCATTTGTTTTCCCACAGATGTTTCATGACCCAACTGGGGAGCATCATCAGTACTAGAACGGAAGAGTCTGCAGAGAAGAGGAGGAGGGAAGAGTGGAGAACAACTGTGGGGGTTCCTTGATGCTCAATCTGAGCTTGGTCCTTGTTTTAGGCATACATTTCAGGACTCAACTAGGGAACGTCATCCGTTCTAGAATGGAGCAGGATTTGAGGAGGAAGAGGAGAATTTGAGGAGAGGGGGGGGGAAAGGGGAGATGGAGGAGGACGGTGGGGTCCTTGGTGCTCTCTGAACTTGGGCCTTTTTTCGCAAACATTTCACGACCCAGCTAGGGAACATCATCAGTGCTAGAAAGGGATTGTATATAAACAAGAGGGCAAACCCCCTCTTCCTTTCAGCACTGATGATGTTCCCAAGGAGGGCCGTGAAACGTCTGCGAGAAAACCACCAAGCACAGGTGAGAAAGTCGGATGGAGTAGGAGTAAGACCAAGCGGGGTTACTCCGGGAAGACCAGTTCAGGTGGATAATTCACTCTCACAACCATCTGTGCGCTGAGATCCAAGCAGTATGAAGAGCCGAGGTGGCGCAGTGGTTAAATGCAGCACTGCAGGCTACTTCAGCTGACTGCAGTTCTGCAGTTCAGCGGTTCAAATCTCACCGGCTCAGGGTTGACTCAGCCTTCCATCCTTCCGAGGTGGGTAAAATGAGGACCCGGATTGTTGTTGGGGGCAATATATGCTGACTCTGCAAACCGCTTAGAGAGGGCTGAAAGCCCTATGAAGCGGTATATAAGTCTAACTGCTATTGCTATGAAACACGGCAACTTTATATATTTGTGTCAATTTAGCAAAAATCTTGCCATTACTCTGCTCCGCCTCTTTTTATCTGTCGGCATAGTTTGCAAACCAGAAAGTCAACCCCCTTCAAATGCTCCTCCTTTTCTTCAGCACAGCAAGACGAAGTAGCTGGTCGGGAAAATCAACACGTGCGAATCGGATGGGACACGGGAAATCCAGCAAAAGGAGCGTGTCGTCAGAAGCAAAACATCCAGGCCAAGACTCTGGATTGAGTAGATGCGTGCACACCTTGGAGACGACCCCCTCCCTCGAACCTGATTCCCCAACACCCCATCATCCACAGCTTCAGATATCTCCACACCAAAAGTCGCAGCTCGGCAACGCCGAATCCCATCCCGTGCCCGGCTTGCAGCTCCCTCGACGATACATCAGGATCCAGAAGCCGACGGGCAGCACCTCGCTTGTAAAACTTCTTCTTAAATATTAAATACTTTCCTTTTTAGCGGTACATGATTTTGTCGAGAAAGACAAATGTCGGCAGGATAGCGCAGGGATTCCTCGTAGGAGCTATCACTGCCGAGCAAGACATTCCCGACGAGAAGCGAGGAATCCGACGAGCTGTGCGCGGTGTTGTCAAGAATGCAGAGGAGCCTCAGGAACGAGCTCCCCTGCTTTCCTTTCTCACCAGGCGCCAAACACAAGGCGCGATCCACGTTGTGTTGAGTTTCATTTCTAATTTTTTTTTTAAAAAAAAGCCATCTTTCGGTTTTAAGTCGAGAAAGACGAAGTCTGCCAGAAAAGCCCTTCGGGAACTTTTTGCAATCGTTTCCCGTGGTCCTTAGAGCAGCGAGTCATCCGTGCAGCCGCCTTCCAATCCGTACCGGAACTCCTGCAGGTTGGAGACGCCATAGAAGTGGACGAAGGCCGCGGCCACCACCAAGACGTGGAAGATCTGATGGGACTGGAACTGTAGAAAAGGCAAAAGAACCAGTTGAGGCAGGAAGAAGCATGATGGCGAGTATCGCGGTTTTGCCGAAAGGTACCCATCTCCCGACTTTACCGTATCCTGCCTAATCCCTGATCTGAAGTTCCGGCTGCGGGTTTAAGGGGTTGGGATCCACGTCCTAAGCTACCGCGTTTTTTGGTTGCTGAGACCACTAAATGTTATCCTGTCTACGAGATGGATGAGTTACCGGAGCCGCTAAAAACGGGCAGAGTTTTGATTTATGTATGGGTGGTCCCTGATTTACAACATTTCATTTAGCAACAGTTGAAAGTTACGACGTCATTGAAAAAACTAACCATTTTTCACACTTATGACCATTGCCCCATGACCAACATGATCAAAATAAGGACGCTCGGTAATTGACTGATACTTAGGATGCTCACAGCGTCCTGGCCTCCACACCAGGTTCATCCACTTTTGACACCTTCTGACCAGAAAAATGAGATTCACTTAACAACCGTGTTCCTAATTTAGTAACAGTAGGCAATGGGGAAGCCAGATTTGTTTAATGACCATGTTACTGACTTAACAACTGCAGTGATTCCCTTAAAAAAAGTGTCATTAAATGGGGCAAAACTTCAAAACCATTTTGCTTAGCAGCAGAAATTTGGGGCTTCATTGTTGTCATAAATCAAGGACTCCCTGTATACTGTGGCTGGGATCTGTTCTGTTCCGATTCAAAAGGTTACTAACCTATTTAACTGCAGGGACTCCCTTAACAACCGCAGCAAGAAATGTTGTAAAACGGGACAAAAACTCAATGAACAAATTATCACTTAAAGAGATCTATTGTGGTCGTAAAATGAGGACTCCCTGTATGTTTTGACTAGGATTTTCCCGCTGTTTGCACCTCTGGTCGTGTGTGTCATCTCTGCAGGGAGTCCTCAACTTACTACAGTTCATTTAGTGACCGTTCAAAGTTAAAACAGCACTGAAAAAAGTCCGTGACGATTGTTTTTCACACACACGGCCATTTTCCAGAGCTATGAGTGATTTTTCACTTACAATCACCGTCACCCGATCCACATTCTGATGCCCCATTCGAAGTTTACAATGGCACGGATACAGAAAGCCAGATCCACTTAACGGCCAGGTTAGTAACTGATCAACTGCAGGGACTCCCTTAACGACGGTGGCAAGAAACGTCGTAAAATGGGACTAAACCCACGTAACCAATTCTCACTTAAGAACATTCATTATGGACTCCATTTTGATCGTAAGATGAGGACCACCCATATTGCTGGTTTTTTTCAACCCATCTAGATGTGTTGAACTACAAGTCCCATCACTGTCTCCTCCACCCCGTGAAAATCACCCGTCCACCCCCCCCCCCCCCAAATACTTACCCAGATGTCAAACTTGCCCGGGAAGAATCTTTCCGGAATACGAGCCGCGTAGAGTCCGGCTCCGGTGATGTACATCACAGCCATCAGGAAGAACCATCCCATTTGGCCCACCGTGGTGGCCTTGACGAAGCCCTCGGCGATGGTGAAGTGCATGGTGGGCACCACGCCGCTCAGGCCCAGCCCGAGGAAGACCCCTGGGAAAGGAAAGAGACGTCCGTCGGTATGTGAGGCGGAAAACGCTCCTGTCAAAGCGTAGCCTCGAATGAAAGCATGCCGGATGGGGGATTCCGGGCGTACCTGCTCGGGTCTGCCTGTGTTTTGGGGTGGCAAAGCGATCCCACTGGGCCACGATAATGGCGGAGATGCCCAGGACGCAGACGATGGACAGGTAGATGAGTCGCGGCTGGGGCGAGCAGAAGAAGGAGTAGTAAAGCCACGGGACAAAACTTCCCATAATCAGCAGGGCGATTCCCGAGTAGTCCAGCCTACGATGGAGAGAGAGCAGGCCCAGCGCCATTAAAAAAAAAAAAAACACAGGCCGTCCTCTCCTTACGACCGTTTGCTTAACGAACACGGGTGGCTACAACAGTACAAGGAGCAGTACAAGGTTGGACTAGATGACCTAAGAGGACCCTTTTCCAATTTTCAGTTATTCTGACAGATTCACTTAACAACCACAAGGATTCCCTTAACAATCGCGGCAAGAAACGTCATAACATGGGACAAAACTGACTAAAGAAATTTTCAGTTAAGAATATCCATTATTTTGGGGCGCCATTACTCTGTATTTTTAAGCTGGGATTTTCGCGCTGTTTATACATCTCTGGCTCAGGGTGTCATCTTGACTTACAACAGTTCACTTGGCTACCCTTTTCGGTCACTAAAAAAATGTGAGGCACTGAAAAAGGTGAGTTATGACCATTTTCACACTTATGACCATTTTTTTGACTTACGGGCGATTTTCACACTTATGACCGTGGCCATGTGAGTAATTGACTCATACTTACCTCAGTCGCAATTCCAGGAGCCACGTGATCCACATTTGCGACCTTTTGACAAGCAATGGGGAAGGATATTTCACTTAACAACCATGTGACTAACTTATCACTGGCACTGATTCACTTAACGACAGTGGAAGGGAAGGTCACAAAACAGGGTAAAATTCATTCAACCAATCTCTCTCTCGGCAACAAAAAATTTGGGCTCAATTGAGGTCATAAGTCAAGGACCAGCTGTACTTAAAAAAAAAAAGGATTTGCCACTGGTGCTCAAACTTACGAAGGTCATGTGATCAAATCTCCAGCGCTGAGAAACTGGATCATATTTATGACGGTCGCAACATCCCAGGGATCCCTGATTGCTGTTTTACCTTGATTAACAATGGAAATTCACTCGCACTTCCTGGTCATAAGTCAAGGACTGTCTGTAAGTCTGCCGGGTCCTCGCACTTATGACCATCACATCATTCTGCTCGGAAACCGGCACATATTCACAGCCAGGCCTTGACTCAGGACCACAATCGAGCCCACGATTGACGTTGCTAAGCAAGACAGCTGTTGAGTGAGCATTGTTCCATTTTACGACCTTTCTGCCCGTCGTTAAGTGAACCACTGCTGCTGTTCACTGTGTCACATGGTCATTAAGTGAATCCAGCTTCCCAGTTGGCTTGTCAGGAGGTCGCCAAAAGGGGATCACGTGACACCACATCAGTCGTAAGTACGAGTCGGTTGACGAGCATTTGAATTATGATGACATCATGGTCATAAGAGTGAAACACAGTCCCAAATCGCCTTTCCCCCCACCTTCAAGTGGAACAGTCTCTAAGAGAACTGTCATAAGTCAGGCACCCCGAGAAGCGGGCCGAGGGAAGCCCATCTGGGCACCACTCACTTGGAGAACGTCCGCGAGACCTTCTCCGAATGACAGTAGACGGTGTGGAACAGCCAGGAGAAGCTGAGACATAGCACGGCGCCTAGGAAGAACATCCCGAAAACCACCTTCTCCTGCAGGGGCGCCAGGAAGTACATGTTGGGGCGCAGCATGGTCAGGACCCCGAGACACAGGAAGAGGACGAAGCCTGTTGGGGAAGAGGGAACAGGGAGGGTTAGGGAGAGGTGACTTTGGGCCAATCACCAGGAGACGGGGAGTTCTAGTTCCACCTGAGGCAGCAAAGCCAGCTGGGTGATTTTGGCCCAATCACAAGGACACTGGGAGTTCTAGTCCCACTTTAGGCATGGAAGCTGGTTGGGTGACTTTGAGCCAATCACCAGGAGACGGTGAGTTCTAGTCCCGCCTTTAGGCAGCAAAGCCAGCTGGGTGATTTTGGGCCAGCCCCACCCCACCTCTCTCAGCCCAACCCACCTCACAAGGTTGTTTTTGTATGGGGGGAGTAAGAGGAGGAGGAGGAAGGAGCATTAAGGACGTTCGCTACCTTGAATCACTTAAAAAAATAATTAAAGGTGGATAAAAACTCTAATAAACAGACGTATGTGCGAGGACCAGTCCCAAGTCACTTTTTCAGCTGTGTCCTAAAACGAATGGTTATAAGTCGAGGACTGTTGACAAGGAGGAATAAGCCACCGGATGAAATAATCACCACCACAATGACTGTGAAATCAAGGTGACTTCCTTCGGCAGCTTAACACAGACTCCGAAGCCGGTAATCCACCCCCCCACCCCCCCTCCACCCCCCATGCCGAGTCAGGCGCCCTGCGATCAGCCCAATGCTTTAATCCCCAAGGCTCTGTGTGTTTGTGTGTGTGTGTGTGTTTAATGCAATAGTGTTACAAAAAAAGGAAGATAAACACAACAGGACTCAATAAGGCACCATAAAATTTGTGTTTGGTGTGAAATCCGCACAACATGGTGCCCATTTAAATTAAAAACAGTCCTCAGTTTACAACCGTAACAGAATGTGCCTATCGCGGTCGTAAAGGTGTGGCAGTCGTAAAGCAGGTCGCCCCTGTGACCGATCCAATTGCATGATTTTGTAGTGGCCGTTTAAGGGAATGTCTCCCGTTGTTAAGGGAACCATCTGTTCTTTATATATAGGGTTCTATATATAACTATATATATAGTTATATATAGAACCCAACATTTCTGATACTGAGACAGTTATTGAGTTTTACTACCTTTCCGTCCAGGGTTGTTAAGCTAGTAACATGGTCATTAAGTGAACCTGGGTAGCCCAGTTGATGTTGCTCACCAGAAGATCGCAAAAGGGGATCACGTAACCCTGAACTACCATCGTAATTTTGAATCGGAGATGCTGGGATGGCCGTAAGTGTGGAAAACGGTCGTAAGTCGTTTTTTTCAGTGCCCTTGTAACTTCGGACAGTTGGCAAACGAACTCTTGTAACTCAAGGACAGCCTGTGTTCATTTAACAACCATTTGAAGTTACAATGGCAGGGCAAAACATGACTGATGACCAGTCCTCACAGTTACGACCATCGAACATCTCTATGGTCACGAGAACAAAATTCAGGGTATATTTACCAGGGTTGTGCCCCCCCCCCCCGTCTGCAATATCCCAACAAGCAAAATCAATGAGGATAGCAAGATTCGCTTAGCGACCATGATTTGCTTAACAACAAATTTTTTAAAAATCCCCCATAATTGGGTTGCAGCTCCATCTAGATTAGAAAGGATCTCTTTCTCGTTTGTTCTTCGGGCTGGATGAAAAGGCCTTTGCCAGGGCAAGATTCGAACTGGGATCTTGGCTGGATTAAATTCCTCGATTTCAGACCGACAAAGGAAAAGAAAGGGAGGAATGGAATTTATTTTTGGTGTGTGTGTGCGTGCGTTAGTCCTTGCTTTGTGGAAACGATGGCCGGTCTCACCGAGCAGGTGGGTCCAGATGTTGCCAGTCTCGGTGTGGATGCGAAAGATGCTTTTGAAACAGGCACGGAACGATGGCATGGGCGGGCGGTGTCCGTGAAGCAGGTAATCGTTGTCCTTCAGCCAATCAGGCAGCACGTCATAGGGGATCACCCGCCACCGGCCTTCCCAGACCTGCGACGCACAAAAATCTGATTATTTTCACCCAGGACACTCGTAGGCTCGGCCTACCTCGTAGGGCTGGTGTTTCTCCAGCTCTCTAGGCCTCAGCCTGGCCCACCCCATCCAGGCATGGATGCCACAGGATTTCAGATCAGTGCTGCGCCCAAACCAGCATTCCAGACCTTTCCCATGTGTGCGCGTGTGACATCAAGTTAGCCACACCCCGTTGGCTGCGAGCACCCTGGCCACGCCCCCTTCCCCGGAACACAACCACAATGCTGATGTGGCCCTCAATGAAATCGAGTTTCGCACCCCTGTTCTAGTGGAATTCCTCACAATCCCTCCTCCTTTGCTGCTGCTCTGCGCTCAATTTTCTTCTCGCGAGAAAACTAGAAAACTTTTTCTCGCGAGAAACGCTCGACGATTCCGGTGGGAACATGGCTCTCTCCTTCCTCCATTTCAGACAACCGACCACCGGATTACCTTGTAGACGAATTCTTCCATCTTCTCCATGGCATGGTGGGCTTGCAAGGGGAGGGTTAAGACCCTTACTTCCTCCTCCTCTTCCTCCTGAGTAGCCGGGCATGGCTGACATGGGTTCTAGGGAGAGAAAAAGAGACCACGAAGGAGTGAATGCCCGATGAAAGGGCTCTCGGGATGCTCTCTTGAACCCGGAGTTATGCAAACTCGGCAGTCCCTCTGGGTTGATCAGTTGAAAAAACACTATGCAGGCAGTCATCGACTTACAACCGATTGCTCAGTGGCCCTTTTGCACTAATGACTTCTGCAGGGTCAAAATTGTGAGGCTTGGCAACCGAGTCATAATTATGACGGTGGTAGTTTCCCGGGATCAGGCGATCCCCTTTTACGACCTTCTGACCTGCAAAGTCCATGAGGAAGCCAGATTCACTTAGCGACCGCATGATTAATTTATGAACTGAAGCTGATTCACTTAACATTGGGGCAAGAAATGTCATAAAATGGGGAAAAAGTTCACTTAACAAATGTTTTGCTTAGCCACAAAGATTTGGGGTCAATTGTGGTCCTTAAGCCAAGGAGTAGATGTATGGGCCCAGTTGGGACTTGGATTTAATTCTGTTTTTCGGGATGTGGCAGCTGGGCTTTGCAAGGTTTGTGCTTGCTCAGAAATGTCATTCTTTCTTTCTATCTTTTTCTTTTTCTCTCCATTTCCTCTCCCGTGTACTCTTTTCTTTTTTCTTCCTTCTTTCTATCCATCCTTCCCTCTCTCCTTCCTTCTTTTTCTTTCGTTTCTACCCTACCTTCCCTCTATCCTTTCCCTCTCTTCATCTCTCTCTTTCCTTTCCTTTTCATCCTGTGAGAACGGATGGAACGTTGCTCCTTTATCAGCCGCATGAGAAGAATCCTAAAACCCTCGGAGTCGATGGCTCTTAGTGGAAGCCTCACCAGCAAGGCCAAACTGAAACCACAAACGACCCAGAGCTAATCACTCTGTGTGGGTCAGGGAGAGCCGAACGTTCACGGGCAAATTGTAAAGGACAAGATAAGGCGGATCCTGTTGTAACCAGGCAGGGGGTCATCATGTTCCTCATGAACACAGAATGTAAGGGATTGTAAGGCAACACGGATCTTAGGCGTGATGCATATTGCGTGGAACATGTCTGAATGCCTTGTGTGGAACCTGAAGAGCAGCTTCACGATCTCAATCCAACTTGGGAAGGGAGGTGGAGGGCGGCCTTTGCAAACCCAATTCAATAAACCTCCTTTCTTTCCACATCAGACCTTGTCTCTCGAACTAACGAGTATACATTTTGGATGTTTTATAAAACCATAAAATCTTCCTTTCGCTTTTCTTCTTTCCTTTCCTTTCCTTCTCTTCATCCAATTCCATTCTCCTTCCAATCCCTTCTTTTCCCTCTCCTCCCTTCCCCTTGATTGCAGGATTGTTCAACAAATGGCTGAAGTTGTTAAGTGAATTGTGCGTCTGTTAAACGAATCGGGCTTCTCCTCTTAACTTTGCTGGGTGCGAAGGTTGCAAATGGCAATCACTTGACCCTGGGATGGTATGAGCTACGTAAAAATGTGACGGTGGCCAAGCCCCGAAATCTTGATCATCTGACCCTAGGGAATACCATGATTGTCATAAGTGTGAGGATCAGTCAAAAATCACTTTTTTCACTGCCATTGCTTTGTTTAACGACCGCCTGGTTCCCTCAACAACCGCAGCAATTCTAACACGGCAAACAAGGTCCTAGAACGAGGCACCGCCTGCTGAATAACTGTTTAACGAGAGAAAGTGTGGTTTTAATAGAGGTTGTAAATCGAGGATCAGATCTAGGTGCTTTCTTCCTTCAGCAAAGATGGAACAACTCATACTAGCAAACATTGGCAGCACATCAAATGTCAAAGACACACACACACACACACACACCTCCCCCTTTCCCCCCCTTTTTAGATTTTGTTCCTGGCAAAACTGGATTTTTTTTTAAGGGCAGGAAAAGAAGTTTAAAATGCAAGCAGAGCGACTCGTAAAGCAAGCCAGGAACGGAGGCCAAAATCCCGGGATTTGCATTGGAAGACGATTTGATTTATTTGACGTTCTCGGGGGTTCCACCACTGGGGTTCGCGAGATTAGTACTTGCTCACAAATTTAGAAAAAAATGTTTAAAACAGTGCAAAGTGCAAAAAACAGACACACAAATGTCACACAAGGGTAACTACAAGAATTCATTGCTTTTAAACCTCAGTTGAATATTGATGGCCAGATCTCCAAGTGAATAACAGAGCAAGATTCTACACACACACACACACACACACACACACACACACACACCTCCCCCTACTTATATATCTGTTATCATCTCCCTCTCTCACCTCATCTTTCTCTATCATTCCTCATCCATAATCTCTATCATCTTTCTATCAACTGTATTTCTCTATCACTAATCTCTCTATCCATCCATCCCTCTACCCTATCTATCCATCCTTGCCTTTCTGTCTGTCCATCCATCTATCTATTGCTAATCTGTCAGTTTCTCTCTGTCTGCCAGCATGCCTGCCTACCATCTCTCTCTCATCTCATTTCTCATAATCTGTATTCTCTCTCTCTCTCTCTCTCTCACACACACACACACCCTCCCTCCCTCCCTCCCTCCCATCTTTCTATCTTTGTGAATTTCTGTTTGCGGGCTCCAGTTGTCAGCTAGGAGACTTTGTCCAAACCAGTTGTTTCAAGCTAGAACCCCAAGGTTTAATTTTAATTTTTAACTTTTTTTAATTTTCAGGAAGTTCTTTTTATGCACTTTCATTACATTCCTGGGTCGAAGGAGGGGAAATTTCTTTCTTTCTCTCTTTTCTTTCCTCCTTCCTTTCTTTCCTTCCTGCTCCGTCTCCCTCTCCCCCCTTCTTTTTCCTTGCTCTCTTTCTGCCTTCTTTTTCGTTCCTATTTCTTTTCTTCCCTCTCCCTCCTTCCTTCCCTATCTCCTACCCCTCCATCCTTCATTCCATCCTCTTACTTCCCACTCCATCCTTCCTTCCCTTATTCATGTTTCCTTTCCTCTTCCCTTCTTTTTTATTCTTGTCTATTTCCTTCCCATGCTTTCCCCTTCCCCTCCCCTCCCCTCTCTTCCTTCTTCTCTTTTTCCCTTCTTTTTTATTCTTGTCTATTTCCTTCCCATGCTTTCCCCTTCCCCTCCCCTCCCCTCTCTTCCTTCTTCTCTTTTTCCCTTCTTTTTTATTCTTTTCCATATCTTCTTTTCCCTTCCCTTCCCTTTTCTCATTTCCTTTTCTCTCCTTTCTCCTTCCCTTCCTTTAAATAATAAATGTCACCATTCAACATTCTTTACAGCGAATTGGTTAATAACCCCCCAATGACAAATCCCAAGGGAGCGTTTCACCCCAAACGCAGTGGGCCCCCATCCCTCCTTCAGTCTCCCGTGAACTTCCATGGGGCTGGCTGCAAGGGAGCTTCAGTCCTTGAATTAATCAAGCAATCCATACATTAATGGCTTGATTTTCCCACCTCCCTGGTGCGGAAATCTGTACTTACCTCAGCCGACCGGGACGTTCCCGGATTGGCTTTCTCCTCTAAAAGGGGGCCGAGCTCAGCCAGTTCCACATCTTCCCGGTCTCGGCCATTGACAACGGGCGCAGTTCCAGGACTGGTGGCCGATCCTTTGCGGGATGCCATCTGGTCACCATACAGGCACCAGGCCGGCGTGGGTTGAAAAGCTAAGATACTTTGGGGCTCAAAGCACTCCAATTCTCCCTACAAAAAAATAAAAGTAAAATAAAGAAAAAAAATTTCAAAATCGGTCTCACTCTGCCGCAAAAACAGCTTGGCTATTTTCTGGAAAGACAGATAGTCCTCCACTTACGAGGATTCCTTTAGCGACCGTTCAAAGATAGAAGCCACAAAAAAAAAGGAGCATTTTTTCACACTTAATGGCCGTTGCGACATCCCCATGGGCACATGATAAAGAGTCCCGGCTTGTATTTATGAGGGTCGTGAGGGCGACCCCCCTTTTGCGACCTCCTGACAAGCAGGAAGACTGATTCACTTAATGACCTTGTCACTAATGGCAGGGATTCACGGAGCAACTGTGGTAAGGTCATAAAACAGAGTCAAAATACACTGACTGTCATCCATTTCAAGAGATCTAGCCACTTGGTTTGTTTCAGGAATTCAACTGAGGATAGGATGGATAAAAATTTAAAAATAATTTAAAAATAATTTTTTTTAAATTTGATTTTTTTATTTAAATTGATTTTTTTAAATTTTTTTAAAATCAAATTTAATAAAATGTTTTTAGAGTAAAAATTTAAAGATAGTTTTCTATTTAAGATACGTTAATAATTTAGTTTATTCAGCATGAACTGGAGCTTAGTTATGTAGCATGAGGCTGTATATTCTGCAATATTTAGATTTTTTGTAAACTCATTCAATGAATCCAAACTCTGCAAGCTGAGATAACATGCCCTGCATTGATGCATTCACACGATTTCTCACAAACCATGAGATAAATAATAAAACAAAGTTCAGGAATATTCCTTTCTCCCCTCGTTTTGCAAATCTAGGTACACTACAAACTGTATGACTGATTGAAGAGAAATGCATCTGTACCGCCAGGCTCTTAAGTGTGAGGAGGAAGGGTTAGGGTTAGACACATATAAACACATACATACAAACATATACACAACAGTGAGAACTGGACATGGAACCACTGATTGGTTCAAAATTGGGAAAGGAGTGCAGCAAGGCTGAATCCTGTCACCCTGCCTATTAAACCTATACGCAGAGCACATCATCAGAAAGGCAAGGCAAAAATTGGAATTAAGATTGCCAGGAGAAATACCAACAACCTCAGATAGGCAGATGATGCCACTCGAATGGCAGAAAGCGAAGAGGAACTGAAGAGCCTCTTGGTGCGGGTGAGGAAGGAGAGCGCAAAAGTTTGCTTGAAACTCAGATCATGGCATCCGGCCCTCTCAATTCCTGGCAAATAGATGGGGAAGAAATGGAGGTAGGGACAGATTTTACTTTCCTGGGCTCCAAGATCACCGCAGATGGGGACGGCAGCCAAGAAATTAAAAGAGGCTTGCTCCTGGGGAGGAAAGCGATGGCAAATCTAGACAGCAGACTAAGAAGCAGAGATATCACCCTGCCAACAAAAGTGCGTCTAGTCAAGGAGATGGTTTTCCCAGTTGCGATGGATGGCTGTGAAGGTTGAACCATAAGGAAGGCTGAGCGCCAAAGAATGGAGGCCTTTGAACTCTGGTGCTGGAGAAGAAGACTCCTGCAACTGGTCAATCCTAGAGGAGATCCACCCTGACTGCTCTTTCGAAGGCCAGATCCTGAAGAGGAAACTCAAAGACTTTGGCCACCTGATGAGGAGGAAGAAGGACTCCCTGGAGAAGAGCCTCATGCTGGGAACGATGGAGGGCAAAAGAAGAAGAAGGGGACGACAGAGAAGGAGGTGGCTGGATGGAATCACCGAAGCTGTTGGCATGAACTTAAATGGACTCCAGAGGATGGGAGAGGACAGGAAGGCCTGGAGGAACGTGGTCCATGGGGTCGCGATGGGTTGGACATGACTTCGCAACTAACAACAAACATATTATGTATACAAAATATATATTTGGTATTATGTATATTATAATTTTTTACATTATTATTCTATTATACACACAAAATTTTTTATATTTTTGTCTTATCACACAGAGAGAGAATGTGTGTGTGTGTGTGTGTGTATATATATAAGAATATATACGAAGTATATATTATATATTTTGTATTTTATATATATTTTACATATTTTTGTGTTATTCTATTTTAGAAAAAAATAGTTTTGAATTTCGTATTCTCCATTTTTTTCTTCAAAAAGGATTTTAAAAAGCAGTACTGATTTAAAAATGCATCGTAACAGGTCGAGATTTCCCCAAATAGATTATAATGGACTATAATCTCCCCTCCGCCCCCCCCCCCCATGCCCTTAAAGTCCAAATTGTGTTGTGCTGTGGGTTTTCTTTGTGTTACACAACCCACATGACACCATTCCTGTCCTGGCAACCGCATTTCACAAGAGGCTGCACAATCAGGGAGGCGTCCAGAAGGGGAACCCACAGTAACACAACAACACAGCTGAGTTGCAAAATTATTATCCACTCCCTCGGTAGTCCCTTTAGCTTGTTTAGCGAATGGCAACCATGATCCCCTTTTCACGACCTTCTTCGGAGGAGCAGAAAACCAGATTGGCTTAAGGACCGCAGGGATTCGCATAACAACGGCAGCACGAGTAGTTGTGAAACTGAACTGTTGTCACTCATTTTAACAACTACAGAGATTCACTTAACAATGGTGGCGACACAGGTCGTAAAACGGGGCGAAGTTCCATTCACAAGTGTCTCTTGTTAGCGATAGAAATATCGGGCTCAACTGCAGTCGTAAGTTGAGGACCCTCTGTACAGTTAAGAGAACTGAGCACGTCCCTTCCTGGAAAGGATAAGTTGCAGATTGAGAGGTTTGGGGTTTTTTTTTGGGGGGGGGGGGGAAGGAACACTAAGGCTAATGAATAGGGGGAGTTGAAATGGCACAGAATGACAGAGTGGGAAGGGACCTTGGAGGTCTTCTAATCCAGGGGTGTCAAACTCGATTTCATTGAGGGCCACATCAGGGTTGCGTTTGACCTCAGCGGGCCGGGAGGGGGGGGACATGGCCAGGGTTGGGGTGGCCAGCACGATGCCATTCATTGGGGCTCTATTTTCAACCACGGCAGCCCTCCCGGGCTCTGGGTTTGGCCGTGACGGACTCCTGCAGCCTTATGCTGCCGAAAATGGAGCGCGGGAGGGCTGCGTGTGGCCTCCCCCAGCTCTCTTTTTGCTGGCAGAGGTACTGTGGGAGGGTCCTTTGCTGTTTCCAGGGTGGGCCCTGGGCCCAGATCTCAGCACTGGCCTAAGATCTAAGATCTGGCCCCCAGACCTCGAGTTTGACACCCCTGTTCTAGTCCAACCCCCCTGCTGAAGCAAGAGACAGAATAATAAAATAACAGGGTTGGGAGGGACCTCAGAGGTCTTCTAGTCCAGTCCCCTTCTCAAGCAGGAAAGCCTTCCCCTCCTCCTCATCCTCTCCACAAACACCTCTTACTGCTAACACTGATGATATCATCTAGTTGGGTCATGAAACTTCTACAAGGAAGCCAAGAGGCTCAGAGAGCACCAAGAACCCCACAATCCTCCTCCAGATAACAGTTAGAAGGGACCTTGGAGGTCTTCTAGTCCAGCCTCCTGCTCAGGCTAGAGACCCATCTCTCTCTATTTCTCCTCCCTGCATAATAACAGGAGTCTTCAATCTGCTCCTCAAGCAGGAAACCTGACACCATTTCAAACAAATAGTTGCCCAATCTCTTCTGAGCCAACTCTTCTTTAAAAAAAAAACAGAATTTGCTATCTGGAACAGTTTGCCTTCTACCAGGACGCACCTGTCCGGGCGAAGGAAACAGCCACTTTTGGGGAGAGGCCTGGCACACCTTTCCACCTGGAGCAAAATAGGAAATGCGTTCAGCGCAAGCCAGCTGGGCTGTCTCTGAGGTTACCTGAGGCCCCCGCCCATCCTTCCTTGTCCTCGCCCAGGAAAAAAGTTTCTCCTCTCTTTTTGCTTTCTTTTGAGTTCAGGTTTCTTTTTAAAATCGCTTCTGATAAAGAGAGATTGGGAAGCTCCTTGCTCCTGTGGGCCCCCCAGTCTCTGAGATGGGCAGTTTTCTGGCAGACGTCTCGTGACCCAACTACGTAACATCATCAGTGCCAGAAGGGAGAGAGGAGAAGGAGGAGAGGAAAGGAGACAGGAGGACTATGGGGTCCTGGATGGTCTCTGAGCTGGATGGTTTTCTTGCAGACATCTCCTTGCCCAACTAGGTAACATCAGCAGTGTCAGAAGGAAGTGGGATTTTCAGAGAGGGTCGGAAGGGGTCTCCTGCTTGAGCAGGGGGTTGGACTAGAAGACCTCCAACTCTTTTATCTGGAGGAAGACTGCTCTCTTGAGTTTGGTGGTTTCCTTGCAGATGTTTCATTACCCAAGTAGGGAACATCATCAGTGCTAGAAGGGATGGTATATAAATTGAGAGCAACATCCTCTTCCTTCTAGACCAGATGATGTTCCCTAGTTGGGTCATGAAACGTCTGCAGGGAAACCACCAAACTCAGAGACCAAGAAGGACCCCTTAGTCCTCCTCCTATCTACAAACCCCCCTCCCTCCTCGCACTTTCGACCATGTCACTTAGTGACAGAGTTCTGAGATCACAATTACCTTTCTGAAGTACCAGAATATCTACGTTACATAAAGATTGGGAGGAGGGGAGGAATTATAGGAAAATTAAAAAGTTAAGATCCCGCTTGAATGCCCAACTCAGTTTCCTTCCTTACAGTTTTGGATGTTAAATTAGAAAAAAAAAAACACTGTGGTTTCTCCACCGGCAGTCCTCGACTTACGGTTGTTCTTTTAGTGACGGCGCAAAGCTGCATCAGCACAGAAAAAAAGAGATTTAGGGCAGGGTTTTCACTGACAAACTTCAGAGATTCGCTTAACAACCGTGGCCAGAAAGATCGCCGAACGGGGCAAAACTCCCTTAGCTAATGTTTCACTTAACAACATAAAATTTGGGGCTCCGTTAAGGACTACATAAAGATGAGGAGAAAAATATAGCAAGATTAAAATGCCTCATCCTGCATGAATACCCACTCTTGTTTCCTTATAATTTTGGAGATTTAAAATGTAAAAATACCAGGGTTTCTACAAGAGGCCGTCCTGGACTTACGACCGCAATAGTGCCCCAAAATTTTTGTTGCTAAGGGAAACATTCCTTCAGGGAGTTCTGACCCATTTTATGTTTCTGGCCACCGTTGTTCAGGGAATCCCAGCGAGTTGTTAAAATGAGGTATCTGAAGGTTGCAAAAAAGGTGGGATCACGTGATTTCCCCCCCCCCCCCAGACGTTGAAACCATAATAAATATCAGTCGGTAGCTAAGCATCTGGATTTCGATCGGGGGAGCCTGGGGATTGCTGCGACAGTTGTTAAGTGTGAAAAATGTCACGGTTTTCATTGCTGTTGGAATTTCGTGCGGTCGCTAAACGAGTCGTCGTGAAGTCGAGGACTCCCTGAAGAAAAAAAATGCTATGGTTTCTGCATAAAACAGGTTGACTCCGAGCAAATATCATCTGAATGTGGCAGCCAGTTAAATTCCAATCAGGGCGCTAAATACATAAAATTACAATCAAGAGATTTAAGGCAGAATCTGGCCTCTGTAGTTGAAAAGAGAAATAAAAACCCACACACGAAAAAGTAAAATTAGAGGAAAAGACTTTATAGCTATTTCTATTTTGGTAACCCAACAATTAAAGGCCAGAAATAGAATTTAAAAAAAAAAAAAAAACACCAGCGATGCAACTTCAAAAAAAGGGACAAATAAGGATAAAACTCTTTACTTACCAATTCTAAAGGCGGTTTGAGCAGAAATGGTTGAAACTTTTGAGCTAAAAAGTAAAAATTGATCAGGTGAAAAGTAAAAATTGACCAGCAGAGAAACAAGCTAGGTACCTCGATTTACAACCGTTCCCCTTAGTGACTGTTCAGAGTTACAATCCAACTGATAAATGGGTCTTATGACAGTTATTCGCATTTACGACCACTTCCAGCATCCCGGTGGTCACGCGATTGAAATTCAGTTGCTTGGCAATGGGCGTGTACGGTTAGGCCTCAACTTATGATAATTCATTTAGCAACGGGTCAAAATTACAAGGGCCCTGAAACACTTTTGTCTCTAAATCTAACTCAAAGCCACTTGTGGATGTTACACAACTGCAGTGTTAAGCACGGCAGCAAGAAACATTGTAAAACAGGGCAAGCTTCATGTACCAAAGCGGAGGTCCCAACGTACCACCCTTGGCAGAGTTCCCACAACTTATGAAGGCAACTGACTATACCCCAGGGAGGAAGGAAAGAAGATTTAGGTGGCAGGACCGGTTCCTGTCAATCCCAGGGTGAATTTCCGGGACCGAAACCTGGATTAGAAGGTGTGGATGGAAACCCAGATAAACTGCCCAGAGGTGCTTTGGAGAGGCAGATGGGTGGCAGATGTGAGTGACTATATACACAGAGACATACC